GGACAGTCGAGATGATATACAGCAGCTGGCGAATATATGCGGAAGGGAAGGTGAAGCTCTTGGACTAGGATTCAGTGTAACGAAGTGTGGATTGGTGGTATTCAATGATCCCTGTGATCAGACGGTGTCCATACAAGGCCAAGAAATACCGAGGGTAAGTGAATACAAGTACCTTGGAGTATGGGTAAATGAGAGTGATAGATACATGGAGGTACAGGAAAAAGCCTCGGCAGCAAAAGGAAAGAGGAATGCGGCAATAATGAAGCACAGAGCGTTGTGGGGATACAATAGGTATGAGGTGCTTCGAGGTCTGTGGAAGGGTGTAATGGTTCCAGGGCTTACTTTTGGGAACTCAGTGGTGTGCATGAGGGCAGAGGTGCAATCGGGAATGGATGTAAATCAAAGGACTGTGGGACGCCTCGCGTTGGGTGCTCACGGGAAGACGACAAACGAGGCTGTAAAGGGCGATGTGGGGTGGGCAGGTTTTGAGGCGAGGGAAGCGCAGAGCAAAATAAGGTTCGAAGAAAGGCTAAGAAATATGAAGGAGAGTAGATGGGCAGAGAAGGTGTTCCGTTATTTGTATAGGAAGAGCGTGGACACACAGTGGAGGAAAAGAACTAGAAGACTCACTAGTAAATATACGGCTGGTATTGTGAGCCATATGTCAACAAAGAGCGTTAAGGGAAAAGTCAGGGAGGCGGAGAGGATTTACTGGATGGCAGCTATGGAGAAAAAACCGGCTTTGAGTAACTACCGAAAGGGCAAAAATGAAATAAGGAGGGAGGCATTTTACGATAATTCAAGGGGAAGCGCTTTACTGTTTGAAGCGAGATCGGGTTGCCTTAGAACGCGTAGTTATAAAGCAAGATTCAGTAAAGAAGAAGAACAATGCACATGCTGCGGGAAAGATAAGGAAACGGCGGAGCATGTTCTGATTGAATGTGGAGATATCCACCCAGGTGTACGTTTGGGCACGAGCCTACAGGAAGCCTTGGGTTTTAGGGACAACAATGGAAAGCTGAACACACCCGCGATTGAAATAAGTAAGAGACGGTTAGAGTATTGGTGGCAGAAAATTAGAGAGAAAGGACAAAAATAAATATTGGAAAAATAAAATATGGACAGTGTGCCGTAAATGGCAGAGAACTTAAGCTGAAAATTTACCTTTTTTCCATTAAGATAGAATTTATCGAAGTAGAGGCATTAGGCCAACATAAAAAAAAAAAGAAAAAAAGGGTTTTTTTTTTGTCGAGCCTGGTGGCATACCTGTCACCACCCCGTTATAAAGGGGACGCTCATAGCATCCATCCATCCATCCATCCATCGACGAAAAGATGCAAGATGTTATAAACTAGACGGACGTACTTGTAGTTGATGGTGAAAGATGCGAGATGTTATAAAATAGGAATGATGTCGCATATGGCGCGTGTCATTGGTGGAAGGCAATCGTTCGATTTACTGCGGCGACGTACGCTAGAAGAGCGCTGTAACAAAATAGAATGGGCAAAGTGCACGGAGGATTCATGGTTTACCAGGTTTACCTCCGGAGCTTCGCCCACTCATCATTCACTTCGTGGATATGGCGGCACTTTTTTATATTTAACACGTACCAACTAGCTCCGTTCTGTTCCTCTAAACCTTACTGCCTCTTTGCAATTACGACAGGTATTGAGCGCCATCCTTCTCGCCATTGCTTTCATGGTGTCTGACGCTGGCTATCACGGATACGGTGGACACGGAGGATACGGTGGCCACGGCCACGGTGGGTACAGCCACGGCATCACCCACTTTTTCGACAACCAGCGTGCCCACTACGGACATGGCGGTTACGGTCATGGTGGACACGGAGGATACGGTGGTCACGGCGGTTACGGCGGATACGGGGGCTATGGCTACTAGAAACAAGGCTACGGCCGATGTGTCTCCGACTGGAAGGTCTACATGTTTTTGTACATTGTCTGCGTAAGAAAATAAACCACATTTTGTTTTTTGAAATTAAACTACGCAGTTGAGAGCGATTGATCAATGGCCTAATGTAGGTTTATACCACTTGCTCAAAGCGGTAACGTGCACAAGCATGAACACACTCACATGCATACACGCATGCATACGCACGCAAGTGCATGATTAACAGTATGGTCCACTGTTAATGATAACAAACACTTGAATGAGCACTCCTTATAGTGAAACCCCCTTAAGCCTCCTTTATATTACTAGCCTCCTATTCATGCCAAAGCCGCAACTGTTAGCCACTATTGCTCATATACAAATCAAAGACACTATGTTTCAGCTAAAGAGCAAAATCCTGACATGCCCTGCATGTGAGTGTCTCTTTTAGCAGGGGCCCATCTGTACATTAATATTGTTTCGCTATTAAAGAGGTTAGCATTGTGTGGCTCTATCCTCATTGTGGTATTAGAAATACCAGGACGTCGCGGAATTTTCAATTGGCCGCACTTGAATCATTTAGCCCTCGTTGTGTCATCGCTTTATTTTATTACCCAGTCTACGCACACATGCTCTAATCTAATACAACGGGTATATGAGCACCTTTACACTGAATCTAACGTAATACAACGGGGTATATGAGCACCTTTACACTGTGATGCGATCACTTCACTTACACGATTGTATTTCACAGGTATTTCTAGAGTTGTTTTTTCTTAACTTTCATGTTATAAGCCACTAGCGGCATATGTGCTAACACCCCAGGATGAGGTGTAAGGGCTATTTCTAATTTTTTTCAGCGTACACTTTTACTGTTATTTGTTTCACAAGCGTTTGGGGTAACATCGGTAGTGAGGTGTTAATTCGCGTAATTCCTATTAAGAACAACATACTACGACAAAAAAAGTGAATTATTTCTTCGTGTGAGCTTCATCTCAAGCTGTGTATTTACGTTCTATGATTCTATAGGTCACTGTTAACGCGGGGGTATCAGTGAGACATTGGATCAAGTGCTGAAGCTGTAAATTTTGTCTTGAAAGCAGAATACCACTAAAGAAATAGACTATGGCTTCTAACTTGAGAAGCAGGTACTGTGATTTTCAAAAAATATGCGGCTTATTTAAAAGTATATTCGCTGAAATGTAATGTTTTTCGAGACAAGATGTTCATCCCCTTTTAAGTAGTTCTCATTTCCTATTTGCCCAATTATAATGATAATGGGCTGAGGTATAGGTAGCTTATTTATTATTCTTCATACCACGGAGTCCAATACGCCGGGAGGTGCAGGATATATGTCAGAAGACACCAATATATTCTTTCTTCGAGAACTAAGCACAATATCAAAATGCCGCTCCAAAATATTTTCTGAAGCGAATCGTGAAAGTGTATTCCCGTGACAAAGTACACTAATACACAATAAAATCAATTCTCTAGAAGAAAAAAAAAATGTGGAGCTTAGTGCAGTGACTGCAGCGGTGTCCGGCAGCTCAGCCCAAGAGTCGCTGGTTTGATGCCTGCCGCGTCAGTCGCTGGAGGTGAAAATTCCATACCAGTGTACGTCAGAAAGCACCATATTGTCAAAATTTTTGCAGTCTTTCTCTACGGCGTGTTGTTCATATCGTGGTTGTGGCTCGTAAAACTGTAGAAAATATTATTAGTTCTCAAAAGGAAGGCACTTGTGCCTCAATACAGAGCGGCCAATGACGAAGAAAAGTACATGATACTTTCCCTCTTTTTCACCGCTTCAGTTACGCTACAACTAGAATCCGTCGAACTCAATCGGGGCCTTGACCATAATGCCACCCATACCATGCAGTCAGACACCGTTGGGAGTTCGCAGCTTACTCTGGACTGCGAGACCCAACCCGCCCCCTTAGGCATTCAGGCAAATGGACGGCTCGTTAACCACGCAAGCGTGTGAAGAAGCAAAGACAAATGCGACTTTGAAACGTGTAAGTACGACAAACTGTTTTCCACCCGTGGAAGGACAGTCATCTCGAGCAATCACCGAAAAGACAGTGGGGAGCGCGAAATTGGCTTTTTACGCAGAAATGTGTGTCGGCAGTTGTTCCGGCTCTTGAATCATTTGTCTCTTTCCTGCTCTTTCAGGATCGCTGCTGCTGTGGCCGGTGACCCAGCCTAAGCTTCCATCTGGGCACGTGGGCACAGGAATTCTTCGTGCTAGAAAAACTGCAGCAAAAAGAAAGATAAAGAAATGGTGGGCAGTTGAAGTTCTAGGAACGCGACGGAAATGTTCGCGGAGTGACCCTTGAAGATGGTTAGGCTGCATTTTGTATTGTGTATTTGCCACGCCGCGACGACAGTAAACACGTGACCTGTCCCCACGGTGTGTTCTGGTATATAAGGCTCTTGCACTTGACAAGACTTGCACCGAGTCTCGCCGTCACCAAGACACGAAAGGATATCAACATGAAGGTCACCGTAAGTTGGAGTAGTCGTAAGATCGGCAGCGGTCGTTGGAAATTTTTGGGCCACCTCTTAAGTCACAAATCAGGTGTCGATAGAAAACGTATTGCCATGTAACAGTTTATCCAGGCTACTTGAGTTTTTGTTTGACTGAACAATCGACTGAACAATCAATATTAGTTGCTTGAAGTCATCTTGCATGTATCAGATCCTCCGCATTTTGCCTTAGAAGTATATAAGGGTTGGTCAGTAGTCCTAAACCTTTCAAGGGAGTAAAATTAGATCAAAATTCCGGCACAAATTGAAGGGGCTCACGTGGAAACTATTGAGCAGCATGACTGTTTGAAGCCGCTTCTGTAGGTGTCGTTTTTAAGGTTAACAACAAAATAAGCACCCATCAAAATTATGCTCCTCGTCAAGATAGCATAAATTTAAGCCATCGCACATCTCATACCTACTATTTATTGCTTGTTCTCCCCAATCTCCAAATCGATAACATTTCATCACTGAAGCTACAGATAAGAAAATAGGACTCTATTCTTGTATACCATTTCCAAATGTTTTCTTATACCACGCGTGTGTACAAAAAGTTTGGTGTTAGTAAATGTTACAAAACGCAGGTGTGTTGCTTGTCGTCCTCGCTCTCGTGGCTACTGCCTCAGCCGGCTACGGCTTTGGCTACGGTGGATATGGAGGTTACGGCTTGGGCTATGGTGGCTACGGAGGTTACGGCTTGGGCTATGGTGGCTACGGACTTGGATTTGGCATTGGCCGCACCTACTACTTCGACAACCAGAGGGCAGCGCCTTACTTCGGATACGGTGGATACGGGGGATATGGTGGCTTCGGCGGATACGGTCTCGGATTTAAGGGATTCTACGGCTAATGGATTCGGCGGCGAATGCTGGTGAGACCATCTTGCAGAGGTGTTTCCAGTTCTGCTTATCTAGCTTCCTTGCCTGCACGTTTTGGAAAGTTTGAGTAACACTTCAGAGTGTGCACTTCGCTCTCGAAAGTATATGCGACAGTGTAATAGGCGTTTATATTCCGATATATTCTATCTAGGTGATACGACCTTCGAGGTAATGTTTGCGGTCCAATTTGAGGTCAAAGTCGACAAGATCAATAAAAGTGTTTTATTTAAAGAATAAGAACTACTTACTTTCGCTTGATTGTATTACTGCGTGCTTCGTTTGCCGTGTCAGAATGTTAGGTTGAAGCCATTCTCTCTGCGAAATTGGCTGTATATGTTCATATGTTTTATGCGCGATGCGTAGCAGTGCGTATGGCTGTTGTACTTGCGCGTGTAGACCTCATATATCTACTTCAATACTTCACAAGTGAGGCAGCCTGCGTATCATTCAGTAATCCTAAGAAATGCAGCTTTAGGAATGACTGAATCCAGGGATCATTTCGCCGAAACTAAAGTGCTTTGGGGAACAATTGAACGCAGCCTTCGTAAAGTTTTCTTGGTGGTAGGAACATCGATTTAAAATACGCAACGCCTGCATAACGTAAGTGAAGTTAAAAGAAGAAGTACAGTAGTTTATCGGTTGCACACACTTGTACTCTATCATTTTCCTGACGCTCAAAACGTGCGAGTATGTGCCAATAGCAATAGGCCCTTTAAAACGTTTTGAATACCGGCACGAAAACGTGTATTAACTCGAAAACATGAAGTAGTTTATACCAGAATACAATGCAGAATAGTGACATTTACAAGTAGCGTAGCGGTGATAGCTCTGTCGCTGACTATTTTTACAAGTGCTCCTAATAGTACTGCGAGGACTAGTTCGGCATTTGTAAAAGCACATCAAAGATTTGCAGAAAATGTCCAGTTAGTGGACATTAAAAAAGCGTGTACATTCTAAACTACATTCTATTATGACACGAGAACAAGTGAGTGAATATTTATCCCACAGATCGCATACGGCCGCGGCCGTTGCATTTTGTAGATGTGGAATGTTAGAGGCCCGTGTTCTGGGCTATGTAAGTGCACGTTAAACAGAAGGAGATGGTTAAAATTTCCTGAAACTCCAGTGTGGCCTGCTTCATAGTAATATTGTGTCTTTGCTATATAGAATATCTGATTTTATAAATATAGATTGCATATTTTTCTTCAGCAATACGCTGAGAAATATTTCAGTTTCAGTTTCAGTTTTATTGAGTACTTTCTTCACAGAGTTGCGAAAAAGAAAACGCAAGGATAAGAGCAAAAAGCTGCTATGTTAGCAGCTTGACGAGGCTCCTACCCCTTTTCACTTGGCATTACAAAATCCGCACAGCACAAACATGAAAAAAAAAACTATATCGACGTCGATTTTCAAAACTTCAAGAAATTAGGAAATAAAAAGAAAATGCATCAAAATTACATCAGTTTCAGGTTTACATAAAGTAAGCAAACCACAAAGAGAGAAAAACAACTAAATAAAACAAGAAAACAGAGCATGATCAATCATGAAACAATGCACACATTGCTAAACGGCTACCAATGTATTACAAAATGATTAGTATTGCAAATGATTTGGCCCTTATTACTTCCTCTCTACAATGCAATACGTGTGATGGCGTTTCAAAAGTCAACAACGCACGATTGCATTTCAAAATATACAAAAGTGCAGTTGCGGATATCCCTCGTTTTATTCTTCCTTGTTGTGCTGTGCACTTCGCGCCGTTTCCCAGGTTCTCCAATAGCAGTAATTATATACTCCGACTGCATGCCACGCAACAGCGCAGCGTGAGAATCATTCAGACATACACACAAAAACGTGGGAACGGCCACGTTAAAAAAAACCAAAACCATGTATTCTGTTATTCGCACTATGTCATTGCTATACGCACGTTGAGCCGAAAACTTTGGCGCCTTTTGGTTCTTTTTATTTTGTTCTCCTTCAGAAAGTGGCCATGCCTGCCCTGCTTTGGTCCTTAAAACTACACGGTCACTTTGCGTGTCAGCCTTTTTTTTTTTCACTCGGTGGCGTAATACCAACTTCTCGCGTGAGCAGCTTCTCGTGTGAAGGAGCTTTTCTTCATAGAACAGATGGTCACGAACAATCGGGCGAAGATTTCTCCCACAAGAACTTTCATGAAACTATGCGGACCGCTCAACATGGGCCAGCTATTCCACGGCCGGAAACCAATTGTCTCCGTTCCAAGCCACAAGAGTCAGTGTTTTCTTTTACTTCTCATTCTCCGATGCGGCGCCTTAAGAACATTCGTTCCTATCGAACGCGCATTCGTGTGAGCCCCTCGGTGCACGCGAAACGAATGGACCTAGGAAGAAACAGTCAGCAATGCGTCGTAACGGGCCGAAGTGGCCTTGAAGCAATCTCGCTCAAAGCTGCTGGCATTCTGGAAAGCCCGTAGACCTAGAAAAAAAAATGGCAAAACAGAATTCATAGTGCATGAAGTACTGGAACGAAGAGAAGAACGACTGGCCAACTGGAATTCGGTGGCAAAATACAAAAGCATTATGACAGAAACAGACGAGGTGCATACGTTCGTGGCGTACGCTGTGCGTGCCACAACACCACGACGGTGCCTATGGAGTTCCTTACCCTCAGCGTTACTCAATGCATCTGACCCCATTCGACGTAGGCAGCAGCGGTCTCCTAAGGCTTGCCTGCTGGAACTTGAGAGAAAATGAGAGAGAAAGAGTGGAGGTTAATCCACCCGCTTCCCTCTTGACCAACCTTCTCGCTCTCTTCCAGTCTTGTCGCCCCAGAGCTTCCAAGGCGGACCACTTTCGGTGCTCGGCCGACCGAGACGTCAGAATTCCGCTTTCAGGTGTACACTTTGTTATTCCGTCGACCACTGGGCCAGTACAACACTCGAGTAGAATAACGGCCTCGAAAAACGCCGCGTCACCCTTACCCTTTTCGGACAATGCGGAGGTTCCGTACCGGGCGGCGCCGTTGGTGCTGAGGCGAAGGCGTTTCCCGGAAAGGCCGTCGTACTCGGTGCCTCCCCGCTCCGCTGCTACTATTGCAACCTTTTGGCGAAGTGCGCGCGTGGGTACGCGTTTTGTGTGGTGTGTGCAGTGAGTTACTTACGTAATAAGCGTCGTTGAGGAAGATTGGCCGGCTGGATTGGGCGCGAAAGCGATGGTTCCGAAAGCAGAGTGGACGCTTGTAAAGCTGCGACAGAGTTGGGGGATTCCGGAAGCCTGGTTTCGGGCAGGAGTTTCTCGCGTAATTCAGCGTACATTTGCACACTTGCCATCCAACTACTTCAATTTAGCAATCTTTTTTTTCTTTGGAATGTGCGTGCACTTTGATGCCTTCGGTGGCGCAGGTGATTGTACTGTTATATTAAGTTGAGTCCCGCCATGATGGTCTGGTTGTTATGGCGCTAGAATACAGACCCAAAGGTCGCGCGATAGAATTCCGGCCGCAGCGGCTGCATTTTCTATGAAAGCGATAATGTCTGAGGCCCATGTGCTTACATTTAGGTGCATGTTAGAGAACCCTAGGTGGTCGAAATTTCCGGATCCCTCCATCGCGGCGTCTCTCATAACCGCGTCGAGGTTTCGGGAGGCTAAACACCAGATATTGAAAAAAATTACATTCAGTTAAATTCGTTTTCGGCATTAGAGAACAGAATGTTTTATATCAGTCGTCACGATAGAAGATGACGTAAGAAAATACGCAAAATGCAGGAGCACTTCCGAACTACCAACCGCGGTTTTTTAGACAAAAGGGATTTTCTTATAGTGTCACTTGTCACCAATGACAAGACAAGACGTCACTCATACAAAAACAGACTGTAAGAACAAACACAAGTGCATATCTTCTAACCGTAGTCAAGCTTACAAATATATAGACTCAAGGCGGCGAATTACGGTAGCATGTCAGTGATATCACGTTCAAAGCACGAAATCGTGTTCTGGTATAAACAAGCTTAGTACAGTGTGCCTTGTTTTGGAGTTCTTGTTCTTCGAAAGAAATGTTTCTTCATTGCATGCGTAATCATCAGTGAACCGTAGCCCATTCACCACTTTTCCAAAATTTCGTGACATTCTTCGACAGCTGTCAAATCGTTGCGAAAGAAGTTCTTTTACTTTAAGTGTATGTCATAAGTCATTCCGGAAGAGTTGGTCACGTTGTATATCTGCTCTCTTTATTTTGCAGAAACAACTGAAAACCCACGTGTGACGGACGACCATTGACCAGCGAGCTTTGTGTTATGTGTGACTATTTCCAATAAATGTGCCTCAGCAGCCAAAAAGAGTTTCTTCGCAGTTTACTCGGAACAGCTCTATACTTACGATGCCGTACCCATGAAATCTCAACAGCTGTGCAGACTTGGGCGGAGGCAAAACGTAGTTACCAAACGATGTTTAGTAACTGCATGTTGTAACCGCGCAAGAATACTGGGCTGACATGCTGGAGACCTGGGTTGGAATCACCCGGCACCGTATTATTCTGCTCACCATGATCACGTGTACAAGGTCAGCGTACCTCGTCACAACACCTTAGCATGTTCACAATCATTCCTCCCTAAGACCTCAATAGAATGGAATAACCTACATGCATCATTAGTAAGCATCACTGACCTCACTAGATTTAGGAATGCACTAATAAACTCAGAACTGTACTAATCGGCGTAAGTGTTATTGACTGTTTAATGTATTCTTTGCGGTTTAAGTTGAGTTGTCTTTTAATAAAGTGTACTCCTTGAAAGTAACACTTTATCATTATATTTTTTATGTGAAACGTCTTTACATAATCCTGTATTTATTTTGTTCAACTATATTTCCACCCCTCCCCTCTATAATGTAGAAATGTACCCTTAGGGTTTCACAAACAAATAAATAGTGGTTGCAGACACCGGCAGCGTAGGTGGCAGCGTGGGCGGGCATAGCGCGTAGCGACCCCTGTTGTGATCTCGTAGCAGCTTTCGCTGTGAAACGACTGCTGTTAATCGATGCCATATTCAGCTTGATCGTCCGTGAACGCGGTGACAGATACCTATCCGGTATTCCTTGAATGTAAAGGTTCAAAGCGGCGCACTTTTTGGGCACTAAAGTTGACGCTTTCACTTTCGTCACGTCGTTCCGCAAAGAATACTCCTGGGTCTCAGTCGGTGTTGCTCGAGTTAATGAGTATGGCGCTCGTCACGGTTATTGACGTTTACATTATTTCATTTATAAATATGTGCGTATGTGTACGAATAAATTCGTGACCATTCATTGCTCCTGTACACTTTACAAACAGGTAGGTTCAACATTTTTGTACACTCCAAGTTATAAAGCAACACAGATTGTACCAGAGCCTCGCATGAGGAGGAGGAGATGATAATGATGCTCAAAGATGATGCTCATACGGTGCTTCTTTATTGTGCAGGTATGTTATTTGGACAACGCACACTCTATCCGATCAAATGATCGTTTCTTGCTGCTGCTCTGTTGCCCACAGACTGTTGTATCTCTATATGTTTCCATTTATGCCCAGCTTGTGTACTGTTTGAGTTCTCTGTGCTTGAGTGGAGACGTTGAGCTAAACCCTGGGCCAAGGGGTATCAAAGGTACCTCTACTAGTAATTCCGGCACTGACTCCGGAGTATCTACTCTGTTACCGAGTGGGGATGTGCGTGGAGCGAATAGCCACGTGGTATCTATAGATAGTGAACCTTCTGTTTCTGCCATGTTTTCCAGCCTGCTAGCTGGGCAAAATAAAATAGCCCAGGATATTTCCGAGCTTCGTTCTTCGATCAATTCGTGCTTTGAGGCTATTGAGTCGCGACTTAACGCTCTAGAGTCGTCCAGTACTATGTCTAATGCATCTAAAAATATGGTAGAAGATTTAAAAAGCTCAGTTTGTTCTCTTAATAAGAAGGTGATTACGCTCACGGCTCAGAACGATGACCTAGAAAATAGACTGCGCCGCAATAACCTGATTCTTCACAGCATTCCTGAATCTCCAGATGATGATAAGGCATTCTCCAACGTTGTTTTAAAATTTTTCACGGAAACGCTGTGCATGGATTGCCCACAAATCGAAAGGTGTCATAGGTTAGGTAGACGTCACACAGGCCGCACCCGCTCTATTATTTTCAGGCTGCTGGATTTTCGTGACAAAATTCATATTCTTAAAAACGCATCAAAGCTGAAGGGCTCCGATCAACGCATATCCGAAGACTATTCTGTTAACGTACGTTTCATCAGAAGAAAGCTATGGGAGGCAACCAGAACCCATCGCAACAGCGGCTCTTCCGTGCGCATCGTTTACAACCACGTGTTCATTGATAACATACGCTATAACTGGGACGCGCTGTCTAACACAATTTTTCAGTCTCGTAATCGTGATACTATGGTGATGGCATCTCCTTTGGCCCCTACTCCTACTTCTTGTTGACGCCCCCATGATTTCCCTGATAATCTTCGTATTTTAAATATTAATGCAAGAAGTTTAGTCAACAAGTTTCCTGATTTCTTGTCTCTAACTTTGTCCTACTTCCCTCATATCATTGGTGTCACGGAAACTTGGTTTCATAACGAAATTAGTGATACCGAGATTTCGCTGCCGAGCTTCAATGTCGTAAGAAGTGATCGAATCGATGGTAGAGGTGGTGGCGTTGCCTTATATTTACATTCCGACTTAAAGTTTTCTGTTCTTGATGCTCCGTCTCAAACTGAATCGGTTTGGAGTAAAGTTTACTTTGAAAGATTGACTTTTGTTATTGGTGTCTTTTACCGTCCACCTAACCTGATCGCGGACTCTTTGGTTTCCCTGAGTGCATTCGTCCAAGAAATAGCTCCTCATTCGCCAAATCTAATATGTATGGGTGATTTTAATGTCCCCAATACAAACTGGACTTCGTTATCTCTGCTAGGTCATGCTTCCCAACCTCACAGAGAAACATTGAACTTTTCACTAACTTCCGGCCTGAAGCAAATAGTCAGTGACGCCACAAGAGGCATGGCGATTTTAGATCGTGTATTCTTCATCCCTAGAGTCTGCGATTATGGTTATGTGTGCACTGTTGTGGATGGTATATCGGATCATAAAGCTGTTTTTGCATCTATTTCATGTCCTGTACCGAAAGCCCGATACATCTATTCTACTTTCCGCAATATGAGCCATGCTGACGATATTGGTATTATTGATACACTTAGCACTTCTTTTGCCCAGTTTGAAGCGATTAGTATTTCCGAAGATGTTGATACTTTAACAGAATTCTTCAGTGATCTTGTTTCAAAGTGCATTATGCGTTTTGTACCGTTAAAAACAAAAAAGACGAATTCAGAGTTGCCTTGGATCACACGGGAAATTTTGCACCTGTCGCGCCGACTTGGGCGTTTGCGGCGTGCTAAACGCACTGGTGATGTTATTCTTGCCGCACAATTCATTACTCTGAAGGAGGAACTTCGAAGCAAAACAAATGCGGCTCGTGACTTCTACTATCGAGTTACACTCCCCGGTTTGCTTAGAAATAATCCACGTAAATTTTGGAAATCTGTCCTACCAATGGATTTTGACACTGACACATTTGAAATAAATGGCACAGTTACAGGCGATACAGCTCTTATTGCAGATGCATTCAATGATTACTTTCAATCTGTTTTTACACTTGATAACTCCGTTGTTCCTCCTTATATAGGGCATACTCGCAGTTCTATTGACGATATTGTTGTTTCAAACCAGGGTGTGCTGAATCTCATTTTAAAACTCGATCCGAAGAAGAAAGGTAGTCCTGATAATATATACAACGAATTCCTCATTAGGTAGTCCTTATGGACTAGTCGGTATTTAACCATTATCTTTCAGAAATCTCCCTCGACGTCTGTTGTCCCTAAAACGTGGAAATCAGCTAAAATTCTTCCGTTATACAAATCCGGAAAAAAACAGTCCTTATTGAACTACAGACCCATCTCTATCACATCCCATTCGTGTACAATACTCGAACACATAATTTTTAAGCAAATCATAGAATTTTTAGAGTGCAATAATGTTTTATCTGATGCTCAGCATGGTTTTCGACGCGGCTTTAGTACAATAACCCAGCTCAGTGAATTCGCTCATGATATTCTCCAGGTTCTTGATGCTGGTGATCAAATTGACGCGATATTCATAGACTTTTCCAAAACTTTTGACACTGTTTCACATTGCAAACTGCTAAAAAAGCTCACTGCTATTCTTAAAAACGAAGCATTAGTAAACTGGATTTCTTCTTTCCTATCCAATAGGTCTCAGTACGTACAATTCAAGTCTTCTCATTCCTCCACTTCCACTGTAACGTCTGGCGTCCCTCAACGTTCAATATTAGGCCCTCTTTTATTTTTAATTTTTAATAATGATCTGCCAAGTAATGTTCCTGTTAAAATCCTCATGTATGCTGATGATTGTGTTTTGTATCATACGATTAAAACTGCTCATGATCACATCATCCCTAACGATTCATTTGCTTTATTTCAATCATGGTGTGACACTTGGCAAATGCAAATAAACTTCCGAAAAACGGTATCCATGTCATTTTCCAAGCGTTCTTCTCCCTCTCCATTTACCTATTCGCTTAATGGTTGCCCTCTCGGAATCGTTTCACAATACAAATACCTTGGTCTCCTTTTCACTCAGGATTTATCTTGGTCTCAACACATCGATCTCATGTGCAACCGTGCGCTTAAAAAATTAGGCTACCTACAACGCACTTTACGTTCAGCACCTCTCAGCATACGGCTCCTCACTTATAAAACACTGGTTCGTCCAATATTGGAATATGCATCTGTTGTGTGGAACCCACACAAAATTTCGGACATCAGCAGAATAGAATCTGTTCAGAAGAAAGCTGTACGCTTCATTTATTGTCGCTTTGACAGGCATTTTTCACCAAGTTCCCATCTTCCTGTCTTACAGCTTACCAGTCTATCTTCCCGTCGACACGTTGAATGTTTGAAGTTTCTTTATACCTTAATTAATTCCCCACGGTTTCCTTTACTCAGCAAATATATAGCACACGCTAGACCAACGACCAGCCGAAATTACCATGAGTTAAACATGTCTACCTTTGCTCATCGTACGAGGGCGTTTAAATATAGTTTTTTGTTCACTCTATTGAATTGTGGAATTCTTTGCCTGGTTACGTTCGATCTTTATCACTGGATGAATATATATATTGTATATTACTAATCATTGATGTAGAGCGCACTTGTTATGCTTTTTTTATGTATGTATTTGCCTACTCCTGCGATAGCCCTGCGGGGCTGCAGTATGTTGAAATAA